TGAATTCTCAATGCAATGAAATAACGCGAGTTTAAAAACACCGGCAATTGACTTAAAAATCCTCGCCGAGAATAAAAAATAAATCCAAAATCTCAGAATCCTCAGTCAGAATGCTTCATTCAACAATAAAAAATGACGCCATTTCCGATTATTTTCCACGAGTTGAATGGAATGAAATGGTAATCGACCAATTTTCCTCGACTAGACACTAGAAGACGGAAATTACCCGAGCCTCCAAGGAATAATAATTCTGGCTGACGTCCAATCCGCCCGACTGCCGATTCCACTTCAAACTTGGAGCAACTTGTTGAATTTGAATTTCGAGAAAGAAAAAACTCTCATCACGCCACAGGTGATTGGCCCATTCCGGATATCAATTATCGACGCCAGTGAATATCAAGGGCTCGATGAACACGTTCACCGGGTGCACGTGAGTCAATTGAGGGACTCGCCTCGGTGGGAAATGCAAGAAGTTCGAACTTCTAATAATGAATCCGCGGATTCGTTACCGGCGAGTCTTCGGGGGTTCCCCGGGCTCTGAACAGATGCCAGCACGCGTACGGACTGAATCTACTGATACTTCGACCGTATCACTGCGTCCGGGAGAATGCTTCATTTTAATTGAATAAAATTCAGTCGAAGAAAATTAATGGATTTTTGGAAATAGTTTGCGACCAAGCTTTTCTTAATTATTAAATTTAGGTTAGTGTAGGGTAAAATGGACACTTCTGACTTTTTTTGAAATCTTCATAACGTGTTGAATTGTTCATGAAATGGAATAATTTTATTTTTCAATTGTAAGAACAATGATTCCTCTTTGCGATGAGCTTAGACTGAGCTCAATTGATAAATCTGTTTCTGAGTTATGAATATTTTTTAAAAAGTCAAAAGTGTCCACTTTACCTCACCCTCCCCCATAAAAATTTGTAAATTTATAGAATAAATAAATAATAAAAACTTGTAAAAATTATAATAATTTATGAATCATGATAAATAATGGACAATAATAAATAATAAATAAATGAATAGTTTTAAAAAATTGATGAGTTTATGAAAACAATTCACGATAAAACTTATTGTAAACCTTGAACTTGATTTTGTTCACATCAACTTTTTATTTAAAAATTCAATTATTATTGCAACAATGACGCACAATTATTTATTAATATGTGAAAATCCTTCTTTTAGTTGAAACAAATCGCTTATTTAATTCCAGTAGAGAATTTATCTGGAGTGAATAAATAATTTACTTAATTTACTTAATAATAATAATAATAATAATAATAATAATAATAATAATAATAATAATAATAATGATAATAATTTATTTAATTATTTGATGAAGACATTTTCATTAAAAGAAATGTATGAGTTTATTAATTTTCAAAGAAATTTTGTTGAAATGAATGAACAAAAAATTGTGATTAAATTATTAAAATTAATGAAAAAAATTCTGATAAACAGTTTTATCTGTAGTAAATTACATACTCCATGGCTGACCACATGTGAGTCGAAATCGAATCCCCAATACTCGTATCCATCGATAGGCAATCACCCAATTTGTATGTGTACCCTGAATTCGCGGATTAAATAATACGAAAAGGTCATCATGATGGGCAGGATAGTGGTTTGAACTCGTGAAAATACGTTGTTTCATGAGATTGAATGGGGTCAGGTATAAGGCAGGTCATTGCCGGAAGAATCGACGCTATCTCTGTGGTCACGAAATCGGGTAGCAGGAGTGAGGGTACGTATACATATCTGTCAGGACCTATACGCTTAAATCTCTGACGTCACTCTAATGTCTTCGTAGATTATTCCGTGCTTGATCCAGAGGGCTGATTTCTTCGGGAAGCCCGACCTCAGGTGACAATCAAATTTTCAAAGTTATTCAGTTGTTTTTTTTCTTTCTTTTTGTTTTATTTCGGTCGTTAAGGGGCTGTGATCGAGATAAAATTATTTCGAATCGTATTTATGGGGTACTCAATGGTATTTCACACAACTATTTTGGGATTTACGGGACGGAGCCGTGGGTGGGGGTTTGGAGGTGAATTATGGTGAATAGAACAATCGATAGATATTTTTTCATGGTTTTTGGAGAATATTAAATCACTTGAGACACGGATTTATTGTTTATTAGGGAGAATTCTTGTTTTTTTAGATGAAAAAATTTATTGTCAAAGTTGTCTTTAGTAATTATTAATTCTTCGATTTTTTAAATTCATTTCAAATGGTAAAATGTATAAAAAATCGAAGGCATTGAGAATTTTTTATCCTCACAAAATATTAAACAACTTAAATTAATTTTTTAAACAATTATTGAATTTTGGTGAATGGAAAAATCGATGGATATTTTTTAATAGTTTTTGGAGAATATTAAATCACTCGAAATATGGATTTCTTGTTTATTAGGGAGAATTTTCGTTTTTTTAGATGAGAAATTTTATTCAAATATAAATTTATTAATGAATTTCTTTTTGTTATCAAGATTGCACTTAATAAGTATTTAATCTTTGATTTGTTTTATTCATTAAAAATGGAAAAATATTCTCACAAAAATATTAAACGACTTAAATAAATTCTTTAAACAAATGGTCAAGAAAATCAATTAAACGAGGGAAAAACAATTATTACGTATCAAAATATAATTCAAAAGATGTTCCACGCGATCAAATATTCTCACGTCGAGCAGTTTTTCGACAGAGCTAATTTGTCCCTCAGGGCAGAAAAATTTGACAACTAAAATAATTAATTCATCGTTGACCTAATTCATTAAATTTCCATCGATCCACGTGTTTCGGCCTCGCGATAATAAAATAATCTGGGACATTGTCTAGTCTCAAGTGGAGCTCCCAAACCCTCCAGTTGTCCCCCTTCAACAACAAGACGAATGCGACGCAGTGATTTCGCTACATTCGAGCTTGTACATCGCGTGTCCAGCGAGTTACACTCACTACTGAATTTTGCGTTATTTAGCGTCTGCCCGAGTAGAGGCCAAGGTCGTGTGTGTCGCGATCCATTTTTTTTTCCAAGTCTCCCCACATGCGGCCCGGACTTTCTTTTAATCACTGTCGCATCCAGTCGCGCTAATTTTTGTTCTCATGGGTCGGGCTTCATCGTCTGGATGCGCATTACTATCGGACAGTGAGATATGACCCTATCCCGAGGCCATGGGGACTGGACTGATTTTTATTTATATGTGATCTGGCCAGCGGGTGCATAATAAAGGTCATGTTAATTGGAATGAATAAAATATAATTATGTATTCTCGGGTAATTACGGTAATTAATTGTTGGGAACGCTGAGGAATTGCCAATTAGTTGATACTTTTTTTTATTTGGGGAGAATATTTTATGAGGTTTGTATTCTTTATGCAGTTTGAAAAAAAATTATTTCAGTGAAAATATTATTGAATTCATTTATTTCGTCAATTTCGTAATTTTTGTTATTAATTCCATTTATTTCAATAGTTATTCCATGGGAAAAGTCATCTAGGTTTAAAAATTGAAAACAAAAAGCATCAATTCAAATCTCTAATGAAATATGCATAATAAAGTTCACATTAATTGGAATAAATACCATATAATTATTAATAACCTACTAATTAAGATAATTAATTGTTGGGAACGTTGAAGAAATGTCAATTAGTTGATGCATTTGAATTTCATTAACTATTTTCTCCAGATAATTTAATTTTTCATCAATTCCATTAATGCCCTCATTTACTTAGTTTGAAAAAATCGTTTCACCGGCTTCAAAAATTGAAAAAGAAAATAATCAATCTGAGTCTCCACTAAAAAATTACCCTCCATCACGAAACACCTCGATACTCCATAGATTTCCCCACCGATTCCCCACATCCATTCCCACATTAGCAATTTGTCCCCCGACGTAATGATTCAAAATTTGTTCAAGCGAAAAAAAAAATGCCGTACGTAATGGCACACATACCTTGACCCCTTCGCCACCGTGACGTCACGAGATCGGTTGAACCGAGTCTCAACGACGTCACGACGATAGCCCCGTCGGAGTAGTTAACGTCCTTAGCGGAAACGTCCTTTACGGCCTCGAAGGGGGCGAGACTTGCGTGCCGAGAATCAAGACCACCTTATCACACTTTGCGGCACAAGTAAAATTTTAAGTATTCTACCATAACGTTTTTCCTCTATTTAACGATTTTTTTTCCGCCCCTCCAGCAGTTTCTCTTCCACTTCCTCAATAATTGAGACTAAAATGGAAGAAAAAATCGCTTCATTGTCGTTGTTGTCGTGAATTAAAAGAGAAAAATTTGTTATTGAGAAGAAAATGTAGTGAATAAAATCCTCTGTAATATAATATGTTGATGATTATGTGAAAATCTTTAAGAAAAAATTTTAGCATTTTTTTTAACGAACAAAACCATTTTTTGATTTTTCTTATTTTTTTCATGATTTATTGATTCAATGATTTCATTATTTAATTAATCGGTGTAGTATTCTAATCAATAATGAATAATTATTTAGTTTAGACTTTATCATTATCATTTTTGATATTTATTGAAATCGTTTCTCTGCAGTTTCACTTCCACTTCCTTCATAATTGAGACTAAAATGGAAAAAAGTTTATTTAAAAAAGAATTCTATTATTTTTTTAAACAGAAACCAACCATTTGATAATTTTTCTCAATTTTTTCACGATTGAACGATTTTATTAATCAATTTATTATTCTAATCATTAATAGTCAATTATTTAAATTAGTCTCTATTATTATTGTTTTTCGTTATTTATTGAAATTATATCGAGAAATTTATTGTGTTCTCGCTGCTTCTGAAGAAATGTTATGGAGTTATTTAAATCATTTTTTAATAGGATTATTAAATACTAAAAAATTATGGATTATTCTCATTAAATATTGCAATTTCAATAAAAAAATATTTATTCTTAAGAGAATTCTACTACAATTCCACTAAAATTCTAATATAAGTTCACTAGAATTTCCCAGAGAAAATCCCGTTCATGAATAAAATTTGTTGAATTATTTTACTTAAATTTCCTCCATATTTCCGATCCTCCTAAAATAACATTAATAAAATTGTTCATTTATTCCTCGACTTTCCGACGATACTAACTCAACAGCAAATAGGGCACGGGTTGCAGCGAGTCTACCTCTGATTTATCGGTAAAAGGTGAAGTCCTGAATTAACTCCGGCGGTGAGGAAGAGGAAGGTGAGCGAAAAGGAAAAGAAAAAGGAGAGTTTCATAGGTCTTCGTTCAATTTGCCATCAATAAATATCACCCCCAAGCCTCCCTCCGCTTTACACTGAATTATTACGCCGAGTTATGTACCGAGTATACTCAGAGCAAGTAATAGCACCCACGTGTAGTTGGATATCAAGGCAGTCGCTCCACCTGAAATAATTTGTAGCAAATAACTCTGGGGATGAATGCAGCCACTCAGTGCTGGTACTCACTCTCGCAGTGTGAATTATTCACCGCTCTCCATCCGAAATTACAACTGCATATTCCGTTCTTGCAGAGGACGGAGTCTGTATGTGACTCTATGTAGCATTCAGCGAGGGTTTGGCAGGTTTCCTTCAGAACTGAAAGTTTATTGTTTCAGTTTTTTTTTATAATTTAACCCTCGATCACTCGTGCTCGGCCGCTAGCCTTCATCCGTCGCGCGGTCAGCGCAGCGCCGCTGGGTTAAACTGCGCGCGCTGTTGCCACCTTGGCGCTTAGCGCTACTCGCGCAGTTCAGTGTGGCAGTGAATGTAGCAACACTGTCGCTCGAGCGGTCGGCAGGGACTCACGCGCACCGCGCCGCGCGGCGCTGCTTCTCCGTCCGTTCGACGTTTCTTTTCGTTTTTCAGCTGAACAAATTTCCCGAGAAACAAACGGACAACGCCGACGCTTAATAGAAGGATTGAACTAGGAACTCTAATTTTTTTAGAATTTTTGATTGTCGAGAAACACGGTGAAATGTAAAAAAACGGAAACGGGCGGCGCCGCGCTCGTTGAGCGAGTGATCGAGCGTTGAAGTGCGAAAATTTACGATTTATTTGGACTGTCGGTACTGGGTTTATGGCTTCTTTTTTTTATGTGGTTACATTGCATTGGAAAGTCATGTTTATGTTAAACAATCTTGTGCAGTATGTTTAGAATATTTGGATTTTTGGATCTGCAGATTTTAGGAAGGGCTTTACCGCATTGTTTTAGTTGTCAATTATTTTCCCATTGGTTGACGAGAAAGATTGATGAAAAAATTACGTTTTGCGGTTCGTGACACCAAGAGACATACCTCGCTTCTTAAAACAGCCGTCGTAGTTGTAATGATATCCATCTGCGCAAGCACATCGACCCTTTCCGTCTTTAGTTCCAGAAACTGCACCTTTTTCTCCAGTTTCTAATGCTATTGACTTGCAGACACTGTTGGGATTCCTCGCAGAACATTGAATGTCATGATTGCACTCATCATCGAGATCAGATACTGAAAGTATTTCATTCGAGACAATCACGAATTTCTATTGAATTTCTAATGAAAATTCTTCGAAGAATTCTGTTGGTCAATGCAGATTTTTTTAAATAGAAAATATTTGATAGAAATTCATTTTCCTCTACAAGTTTTTCTATTGAGATATTTTCTGTAGAAATTTCTCGATATTAATTTTTCCAGCCTTTTCCACTCTATTCATAACAAAAAAAAATGACCCAAAAAAATTTTTAAAATTGAGTCAAGAATTTTTTCAATAGAAAATTTTAATAGAATTAATCCAATAGAAAAATCAAATTCTCTTAATTTTTTTCTCCAGAAAATTTCTATTTTCAAATTAATAAATTTATTTGTTTATTCAAGTTAATCATTTCTATTTGAAAAATGCGCTGTAAGCAGGGGAATTTCTTAATAGAATCGGTGAAATTCTAATAGAAAATTCAATGGAAATTTCATAGAACTTTCTAGTCAATTCGCTAGGTTTTTCCATATCACTCTTTCATACGTGTTTACCTGGCACGCAAAGATCCACTGTCAAGGCGACATGATAATTATGACAGGTGCAAGTACCATTCCTACAAACGGAATTATAGACCTTGCACTCTTGATCCACCTCGCAACTTGCGAAGTTTCCCCGAACACACTCTCCGCTCGATTCGAAGTGATTGTCAGCGCAAGTGCATGATTTATTGGAGCAAATTGAGTTTTTAACGCTACAGTCTCCGTTTTCGATGCAAAATCCTCCAATTTCTGGATGGCAAAAATAATTTTATTGATTCCGTGGAATATTGAGAATAAAATGTTCGTCAAAGATGAAGAATGAGTGAAGAACCGACTGAATAAACAAACAATATAAATGATGAGGAGAAATAAATACTAAAAAATTCATTTAGTTTATAATTATTTTATGATGATACGTGTGGAAAAAATTGATAGACAATCTAGCGCTTTCTCTAATAAATTCAATTGAATTTCATAACCGAAGCGCAAGACTTTTCAATTTTTTTGTACGTGGAAAATAAAATGAAAAGACTCATTTAAAAAATAGGAAATGAATAAATAAATAGATGAATAAATGAATAAATGAGTAAATGAATAGATGAATAAATAAGTAAATAATGTACTCATTAATAATTATTATCATCACCATTATGATCAGCAATGCAAACTGTCTGATCCCCGTTGACATGAGTCCCATTAGGACAAGAACAAACGAATTCATCATTACACCGGATGTCAACATCCAACCCATTGACATGACAGTCCTCGTCTTGCCTGCACCTCTCCCCGAGCCCCTTGCTCGTCCAGCAGATCATCTGGTCCTCCACGTAATGTGAATCATCATTGCAGATGCATTTTCTGTCCCTGCAAATGGCATCGGGTCCGAAGACGAAGCATTGTTCGTTCAATAGACAAGACGAATTGAATCTTGTCGTCGCTTTCTTGCACTCGCGGTTGTCGATTGTGGCGACCTGTCCTGATTTACAGCTCCACAGCGTCACATCCTCACGACATTCCGCATTTCTTATTTCTGGAACTGCGTCGTTTTCACATGTTGCACCTAATTCTGGCGAAAAATTAGGTGCTTCGATTAACAAAACATTTTTTAATATCAATAAGTGATTTTTAGATTAAAAAATACAAACTTTTCAGTTATAAATTGGATCATTGTTTACGAGATTGAGAGAATGGGTTGACTAATTGATAATAATCCTTTATTTTGATTAAATAACAAGTGAAATTTTGGTGTTGAAAAAGAATTTTCAACATCAAAATTCCATTTGTTATTCGAAGAAAAAAAAATTAAAAAATTAGAAATTAACGCACGGTAGGGCAATTTTTTGAAAATTAATAAGTTCAGTAGATTGATTTATTTGAAATGAATGGTTTACTTATTTCGGATGATTAAAACACTTTCGATTCTATGAATATAAAAAAAAATGAACAAATAAACAAATAAACAAATAAACAAAGAAAGAGATGAACAAATAAATGAATCTGATATTTAAAAAATGAAAAATTCACGATGAAGAATTTCATTTTATTCAAATGGGTGTATTTTTTTATGTAAAACAACTAATATAAAAAAATAAAAAATACCTGCAATGCATTTATCTCCATTTTCAGAGGGGAAATGTGCCCGATCGCAAACACACACCCCTAATGCACTACAAATGGCGGCACCCATAGGGTTGCAATCAGCCGACGCATTACACGGTTTTCCAATCACTGCAATATTCCCTTTTAATGTTTTCCGCGAATTGCCCTCCCTTTCTCCATGCAATAATATTCCAGAGGTTTCTAGTTGACAGCGCTTTGATTTACCACAGGTTGCTCTGGGGTTGAATCGGCAGTCGAGATCAATGAGGCATTCGTCGCCGATCTCTGAATAATCAGAAGAGAAGAGAACAGCAGGAAAATAATTGAGGTATTCAGGGGGTGGAGGGGGGCGAGTGTGGAGAAATAATTATGAAAATACTTTGCGCTGCGCGTCTGCAGCTGCGGTACTCGCGCTGGTAGAAGTTATCACTGCACCGACACTTTTTATTTTCACAGATCGCTGCCTCCGGTTGGTGATTCACGTAACAGTTATCGGGGGATAAACACGTCTCACCGAGGTCTGTAATAATGACACGATATTTCTCATTTGGCTGTTTTGATTGGGGTGTTTTGTCCAGCAAAAATATTGAAACATTTTTCCTGAATTGCACTGATTGTGGGGGAAAAAAGAATTCTGGTAACTGAATTTGTTTACGACACACAAATGCCCGAAGTTTTCATACAACAGTTTACGGTAACTTCACCCGAAAAAACAAGGTTTATTTCGAGACTTATGATGTCAAATTGAGATTTTCCAATGTTTTCAATTGAGGATTTATTTTTAAGGATATCCGAGTATTTTTTAAACGTTCGATTCAACCATTTGCGGTCATTAAAATTATCCATTAAATTGCGTGAGGAAAATTTGAAAAAAAATATGAATGGTATTCGTCATTAAAATTACGTTTTGCACAGAAATATTTTTTTAAACATTCGTTGATTGGAAATAAATAGGTGAAATTGCTTAAACTTTCGGAAAGTTTATTTTTTGAGGGATGAAATCTATTTCTGGCGAAATTCTGAATATAAATGAATTTTTTGCGATGCCCAACACTTGATTTTTATGGTGGCAAATTGATTGTTTACAAAACATTTATAAAAAAGGCTCGCAATTTTCAAAAATGGCAATTTTAAATTATTTCACCAATTTTCCTCCAAAAGTTGACTTTCTTATTTTTTTTTCAGATTTTTAAAATGGTTTCTAACGGTGCAATATCGAGATTCAAATTCAGATCTGCAAAGTTTAAATAATAAAATCATTGTAAAATGTTCGGCAATTTTAAATTATTTCACCAATTTTCCTCCAAAAGTAAACTTTCTTTATTTTTTTTTTCAGATGTTTAAAATGTTTTCTAACGATTCAATATCGAAAATTAAATTTAGATCTGTAAAGTTTAAATAATGAAATCGTTGTAAAATGTTCGGAAACTTGGGGTTCATATAAGATATAAAAATTTCGTAGAAGACCTAGTGAATACGCCACGAATATATTATGCATCGAAACATTGGAAGCGCATAAAAAAATCCCGAAAGCAATCAATACTTGAAGTAGCCCGGGAGAATCATCCGATTGAAAAAAAAATTACTTGTCTCCAGTGAATTATATTTCAGACATTAGAATTTTTTTCTCAGTGTATCTTCTCAGCAGCAGAAAACCGGTAATTCCGTCAATGTCGGGTAATTCTAATCATCGAAACGGCAATTTCACTCCTGACATAACAGTAATCTACGAGGAATAATTCAATCTGCAGAGTGTCATAACGTTCTCCGCCCGATAGACCGCAGGGAGTTTCGGTCGCATCGGCCGTCATTGGTATGTCGTACGTATTCCAGATCCAGATTGTCTGGGAGGCCTCTGCGGCAAGCCATCACGTATCGTTAACACCATACGCGATGGGTCAATTAACTTGACATGTGACCGTACCGAAAGAAATCGTGTTATGTTTAGATTAAACTTGGATATCACATTGAAAAACAGAAAATCTATACCATTCGACGACTATGTATTGCACTGTTGGAAAAAAAATGAAATTTCAGTAAAAAAATGAAAATGAAAAATGAAAATTCAGTAAAATTCCAGAATTTTAATTTTTCTATAAACGAGAATTCCTCAATTTATTTGAATTTCCAATTTAATATGAATATTCAGTGTCAAATTGCATTGAATTTTCAGTGAAATCTTAAATATAGAATTTGCTTGACTCAAATTTTCTAAGTTCTTTTCATTCTATTTTTATTTCCTTCTCATGAAGAGAATCAAACGAAAAAACTTAGAAAATTTGAGCCGAGGAAATTCTATAGAAAATACTTCAATAGAATAATTGAATTCTATTGACTTTTTCTACTGAATACTTTCTACTGAACACTTCAATAGAATCGGTCAAAAACTCATAGAACAGTTCGATAAAAATTCAATAGAATTTCCTAACGAATTCGATAGGTTTTTCTATTAAATTTTTTCGTCTGCGATTTTTGGGCGGAATTCTGATTTTTCAATGACACGATTCCCTGAAATTTCAGTGAAACTTAAACACGATAAAAATTTCCGGAATTAGGCACGGAAAATTTAGACGAAAATTTTCAACAGTTTTCGCAATACTGAGCAATTATTCACGTTCACGGGATAATATTTGATGGAGTAAATGGTAAAGTTAACCGTCCCGGCACTAATTGAATGATTTCTTTTCACGTTTCGTAAATTTTCTCGAGTCAGGGGAGAAAAATTCGCTATTGTTTGCTAATTTTGATGTGATAACACGCAGTTTTTTATTTTGCGTGATATTCGCGTTTCTGTATTTTTAATAGTAATAAGGAAAAATAGAAAAAGAATAAAAGAATTTTCCCGAGTTTAGCTGTATAGTCATCAACTGGCAACTGCTCACCGGTTGTTTTATAACAGTATCCGTGCAGATAATGATACCCTGGGGAACAAACGCATTTTCCACTGCTGCAGGCGCCACCGACAGAGAGATAAGACGCACACTGGTGGTTCTCATCGCAGGCCTCACCGTAGCTATTTGCAACTAAAATATCAAATTCCAAAAAATTGATAATATTTAGGATTAATAATTTTATTTATCTCTGATGAAATACAGAAATTATTGTTTCAACTTTTATAATAAATTTATTTATTTTCTGAATATTTGAAAATCTATCTCATGACCAAAAAATTCGCTTCTCAGAAGTTTAAACAATTTCCATTATTTATTTACAAAGAAGAAGCATAAATCTCTTTATTTAAAATTTTTCTATTAATTTCAGCAATATGTTTGTTGAAAATATTTCAATTACATGACCTTAATAATTCATTCATAAAAAAAAATTTTGTATTATAATCAAATAAATAATTTTATGTCATTCAAATGGGGAATCATCACATGGTAATGAAAACACATATAAAAATTGACTCTAAGTTTGAGTAAAAGCTCTATCACGAGCTATTTTATTTTATTAGATCTATTCATTTGATCTGATAAACTTTATTGAATTCAAATAAAAAAAATTTCCAATAACTTCAATGTAAAGAGCTCCATCAAAATAATATTTATGCTTTAATTTCATGGTCCTTATTCACAATGAACTAGATTAATTGTGACAATATACGTAGGAGCATAAATTAGTACAGGGACGCCACCGCAAGGTGGCGCCCTGCGGAAGTTAGTGTCTCGAAGAAGTGTCAATCTAACAATTCATCACAAAAATTCCTCCAGATACACATCAAACAAAAAAAATTATGCACTTTATTTACCTTTTAAACACGTTGTCATATTTCCACTGAAGACATACCCCCCTCTACATTTACACTGATTTTTCTCACAGACACTATTCACCATGCAATTCACGTCTCTAGAACACTGCAAAGGATATTGAACCTCCCCATTACATCCTAAAAAAATAAAAAAAATACCTCAGTAAAAGGAGGAAATCCCGAGGGAGTGGAGACTTGTGGAATAATTGACAGGTCGCGTGTAACTGTAACAAAGGGAAGAAATCCCGTGGTGCATGTTTCGATAATAACTCAACTTTGTCTATATATGTGTGCATTGAAAAACTAATGGCTCGGAGGAAATAAAATAATGGTTCACAAGAACCTGGATGCGTGATTTGGAATAATTCGTCCGGACGTATGATTGTTGGTCGTTTCGAGGGTAATGTACCGCTGAAAAACGTCAATTTTCACAAATAATAACAATAATAGTGATGATCATAAAAATGTGAGGAAAAGTGGAGAATAACTTCACATTCATCGCTAGATCTTCCAAAATATGTCATTTTCATTTTATCTTTAATTACTTCAAACATTTAGCGACGGGTTGGGCACAACGGACAGTCAGTACGCTCCCTCCCCCCCTCACATAATTTTTTTCTTGTAAAATGTACATAAAAATTAATTAAATAAAAACACTGAATGGAGAGTGGAATAAATTACCATAAAATTGAAAGTTTCCCGAAATCTGTAAGAGAATCAGAACGTGAACGAATATTTTATGAAGACCCATGTCTATGGACTGAACTCTGATCGAGATATCTCATTTTCAGCGGCTCAATGACACTATCTCAGGGTGCAGTATCAAATCGAAGATATCTCGTGAAACACCTGCGCGAGTTATCGCGTGAATACCTCGGAGTGATCGGTGATCTAGTCAGATGGAGTATTTTAAGTACTCTGGGTTTATCACTCGTGGCAAACAAGATAAAAATGGTAAATTGTTTGGATTAATGTAGTCTATTGTGAATGGGTATTGGGAAATTGTAGCATAAATATGACGCCACCTGACGGTGGCGTCCCTGCACTGCTTGATCCTCCGGTTCGACACTATCCAAATTAATCTAGTCCATTGTAAATAACACTTATGAAAATAAAGGCTACACATTATTTTCCTGGGGCTGTTTATCGCATCCTCCACCAATTTTCTCCGCCATCAACAGCGAAAATGTTACCCTTCTCAAATTGAAGAATTGATAACCTTTTTCCTGCAACTCCCCTTCGATAACAAAATGGTCGAAGTACTCGAGCATCCTTAAACCCAACCGCTACAAAATAATAATCACCTAGGAAATAGTAAACGGATTTCCCCTTGCACTTTTATGATACCGCCAAGTGCATTTTATGGTCCAACTCAATTACTCCACCGGGATGTCAGCCAAGACCGGTCGATTTCGGCATTCGTGACTCGGTCGGAGTCTATCGTTCCGCTGCACAAGCACCTGCCTTTATTAGTCCCTCCACACCATACGCCCCAGCTATCTAATCGCTAATTTTCAACGGGTCACACAAGTCACAGCCAGTGATAATTGCACCATTGATAAATCAATGAATCAGTCTCAATTATTGTGGAGATTTTCGCTATCTCCGTTACTCTTTTGACCCCAAGATTCCCGGGGGGTCAGCTTATTGACACTGTGCTGTTGAATATAAAAGCTTCGGTGCATCGTAGGCTGTCAGTTACACCAGAAACATGAAAGTGTCTACTGGCATTAACGGTGAGACTAATTGACATTCGTCAGGAGTATTGCATGACAATTGATAGAACTAAAATCCCAAATGATTTTCAGGATTCAGGACTATTCTAAATATTCATCTCAAGCTGATAATTTGCGATAATACAATTCATTCAATTTTGCATTATTCAATTAATAAAAACAAAAACATGAAAAAACTAATAGTTTTTAAATTTTCGATGTTCGAAACTTCTTGTTCAAAGAATGTTCTTCTTTGTTCGCAGATAAAAAATACGTAGACCTCGAGGGAGGAGGAGATGAACCACTGAAGATTCTATTGTCAAGAGAGAGTAAATCTTCCCGATGTTTCAACCTCATAAAATTCATCTTCTATCTGGAGATCATTCTGTTCATTGGGCTGTTTGGTTTGATGGGGCTGCAGTCCTACGTGACGAAACCCAGGATTTATTCATTGTCATCTACCAATGAAGAGTCTGATGTCTCGAAGAACTTGGATTACGTCAAGAAGATGTCAACTTTGGCGTCGGCAACTGAAGCGGGGCCATCTCGAGAAATGAATTCTGGTGAAGGTACAGAAGACTACAAGAGGCTTCTGCGCGCTGAAATTTCAGAACAGCTGGATCAGAAATTGAAGGAGGCGATAGGGGAACCCCGCGATAGTGAGAGCAAGAAATCAAAGTTCAGTGGTGATGGTGGTAATAGCCACGAGCATCATGATTCCAAAGTGCTTGCGGTGGTGAGAATACTATTACCTGAACTTATGATAAACGCTGGGAATATTGGAGGGGAATTTGGTGGAGATGATCGAAGTGAAAGTGATAGATTCGGAGATGATGATGATAGCCACGAGACTTTTAATTCCAAAGTGCTTCAGGTAGTGAAAATTTTATTGCCTGAGCTTCTGGTGAAATTAAGGAATCGTGGAGAGGAATTTGGTCATGATGAACGAAGTGGAAGTGAATCCCAAACCCAAAGTTTTGGAGATTTGGTTGGAGATATGAGTAAAGAGGAAGGAGTGGTGTCAAGCACTCGGAGGAATCATGATGTTGTCTTCGTTGATCCCCTCTTCCCAAGTTTTGAATCAGATGATCGTGATTATAACGAGGGGAGATTGGATAATAGTGGAAAAGGTGAAATAGTTGGGCCTGAAGAAGGTTCAGAAGCCTTCGAAGACCTTCAGCGCGGACAAATACCTTTATTTGAAGGGATTCATACGACTCCTGATGACCCAAGTCTTCTTGCTGTAGGCGATATCATGAAGAGTGAAGGACGAAGTGGAAGTGAATTCCAAGCCCAAAATGTTGGAGATTTGGTTGGAGATGTGAGTAAAGAAGAAGAAGTGTTCCCGAGTTTTAAATCAGAAGATCCTGACTATAACGAGGGGAAACTGGATAATAGTGGAAAAGGTGAAATAGTTGAGGCTGAAGAAGGTTCAGAAGCCTTCGGAGACCTTCAGCGCGGACAAATGACTTCATTTGAAGGGATTCATAAGACTCCTGAGGACCCAAGTCTTCTTTCTCTAGTCGATCTCACGAAGAAGAGTGAAGGAGACTTAGAATCATCTGCACCATCGGATGTTCCGCTGCAATCTGTGAATATTGGCGAGGAATATGGTCGTGATGAACGAAGTGGAAGTGAATCCCAAGCCCAAAGTTTTGGAGATTTGGTTGGAGATGGGAGTACAGAGGAAGGAGTGGTGTCAAGCACTCGGAGGAAGCGTGATGTCTTCGTTGATCCTCTCTTCCCAAGTTCTGAATTAGAAGATCCCGACTGTAGCGAGGGGAGATCGGATAATAGTGGAAATAGTGAAACAGTTGGGGCTGAAGAAGGTTCAGAAGCACTTGGAGACCTTCATACGATTCCTGATGACCCAAGTCTTCTTGCTTCAGTAGACGACACGAAAGTTACTGAAGAAGCTGAGGTGCCAATTCCCCAACGAAATACTAAACAGCTGACGGGGAATTCCCCTCAGGTGAATGTTGATGCAATAGAGCCCAATGAAGGAATTAAAACTAAACTTCCGGAAGATAGTATTGAAGTCCCTTTAGAGGACCTGAAACTCAACGAAAAGTCCGATCGCGATGATGCAAATTTCGTAGTTGTAGTCGATCCACTCGAGATCAGTGACGAGTATGACGGCGAGTATGATGTACCCAGGAGAGCGTGTGGTAACAACAAAATTATGGTTGACAAAATTGGCGCCCTTCGAACGTTACTACCGGAGCACTGGTCGGGCTGTGTTGATGCTGGCTCTGTACTCAAGGCTATCTTCAAACACCCCAATGCGTGGAGCGCTTTCGAGCGCTATTTTTCTCAGAGAGCGGGGAATCCCCGTGATACCTGGGCGGGAGTTTGATATTTCTTGTTAGAACAGGGCAATAGGTTCTAGTGTTCGGAGCAAAGTCGTTACGGTTTGAATAAAAAACTGGTGATTCGATTCCAGAAGAAATATTTGTAAAATGTAGCAGTAAATATTACTTATTTATCGGTGAAAAATGTTCTTGAAATGAAAAGGTGAGTTTTTAAAGCAAGTTCAGGGTTAGTGAACTCTAATTCAACGCTGATTGAGAAATGAGTTGTCAATTAAATCGAGAGACAATTATGTATTTTAAAGATGTTTCAAAAAATGCATGATAAATTTTAAAACAGGAGAAATGTAAATTTAAAACTGCAAATTTTTTCAATTTAAAAATCAACACTTTTTAAATAAAAGAACTGAGATCATAGGTTTCAGCAAAATTATAGACATAATTTTTGGAAAAAGTGGAGAATTTCATACATTCGTAAAATTCAGAGATTTTTTTCTGGAAACAACTTTTTTTCTCCTACATATTATTTATTCACGTCATCGACTCATGAGTTGAGCATTCACGTTTGTTCATTCATAGTTTCTAAGTGTTTCTCTGTATCGTAGTTGTTATTTTGATAATTTGTGAAGATAGAATATATACTTGAATGATAGAATAATGATGATTCATCTCTTATCGTCGATTGCAGAAATCATCTGGAGGCTGAGAGCTTGTGCCTCAATTCATTCCATTGAATTCCATAAATTATTCATGAAAAATATCGAACAATCTTATTCCTCAAATCAGAGGAAATCCCTTCATTATAGCACTGTCAAAACAGTAATTAATTTAATTACTTCATCATTTTTTCATTATCACGAAAAAAAGAAGCCATGAAAATCCCACACATGGGAGTGACGAGTTGAGCCGAGAGAGTGAAAAAAACTCGCATGAGGAGAAGCCATCCCAGAGCATGGAGAAAACAATTACGACGATAAGGGTATTTTAATGGTCGCTCCAATTATAAAACTTTTCAGTTTCGCGTGATCGACACACAAGCGTTATAATTCCCCCCGAATCCGCGAAATTTCTCATTCCACACTTAGTCACATCAGGGACTTCCCCCGCAATCAGCGCCCAGGATCACCTGAACAGCTCGACGCCGCATTCTCACCTCGCCATATCTTCGTGATTAATACCGACGAACTTTTTTCCAACAACTAGGCAAATTCTTCGTTTCAGTCAAATAAATTTCATTCGAAAAAAATATATGGGATTTTTGTTTGTGTTTTTATGAGAAGTATTTCGTGAATATGAAATGGGGAAACTATTTTAAATTCGATACGATGATAATACTATTTGAAATGGAGAGTTAAATTTGACTATGCCGAGCAATCACATGATATTTATTTTTTATTTTTAGGGGTGTTTACTAACTTTTTTAATGAGAAAAAAAAATGAAGTGGAAAAAACTTGAAAAATTCGTGTCGATAAATTTTTGTAGGAAAAGTCTTAATAGAATAAGTTGTATAGAAACATGAATATTCGGACTAAGTATTTTAACTATTGGATATTTAAAAGAAAGCTTTCTCTTAAAATTTCAAAGGTCTGAAAATGATTTTCACAATTAAAAATTTTTAAAAATTCTCAATTGAAGCTTTCTGAAGATCTCAAGTCAAGACATTTGAATGTTTCAAGTTAAAAATGAATAAATAATCCTCAAAATAAACCTTTTATTTCAATTATCGGGAATTCTTCAATCAAATTACCCAAAAACCACTGGAAGTTTAACCCAAATCCCGCAAAATTTCCCACGGAACTCTTGCATTTTCTGGGATGATTTTTCCGCGCGTGAAATGTTGTGCGTGAAAGAATGCCATTCTACTGAACTGCGTCACATCTCCGCGTATAATTGTGCCTTCCCAAGATCCATGTAAAATCGCCGCGAATCGAATTAACCTTTTCCCTCACAAAATATCGTTGAAGCGCAAGGACACAAGAATAAAATAAAGCAGAGCAACCAAATGTTTAGGTCATACCGTCAAGGGTTGCGCCAGTGGGGTGGCAGCACGTGAAAACAAAGAGGTGGGGTGCCTCCTCCAAGAGCGCTTAAAAGACCTTCCCGTGGTGCCTCAACACGCAGTCCTTAAGACACACTCAGTGGTGATAAATCACAGCAGGAATTGTTCAAAATCTACCCTGTGCTACCGTTCAATACCCAAAATTCGGCCACTGAATTCCGAAAAATAATCAAGTTTGTGATCAAGATCCGTTGGACATTAATCATTCGAGTTGGTATGAACCGTGTCGTTATGATGAATATGGTGGTGCCACTGGGGGTAATGCTGATGATATTTTTACCCATGTCCACGAGCGCTCTCACCACTTTCGGCAAGACAACTTCACAGAATCAAACTCCTCCACCTCCTATTCCGGGTATGTAATGCGTGAATAACGGTTTTTTTTATTTTTCATGGAGAAAAAAATTTCTTGGACGTTTGAACAGAATATTGATAGATTCTGGAAACGGGCCGTCTTAAGGGGCATCATTCGTTGATTCAATACTGAATTGTTCGGAATTTTTATCATTTTTGGACTTGAATCCAAAACAATTTCGGTAAAATCAGTAGTAAAAAATAATGTAACATTTTTCCGTCACGCGTTACGATTTTGCGTGACGCCTGACCCTCAGACATGTTTTTGCGTTGCAACTAACGTTTTGGCGACACGTGTTACGTTTTTGCGTCACGATTGACCATTAAAAAAAAATTTTAACCGATTTTTTTTTCTTCTTCGGGATTTTTTGTCAATAGTAAAATTGATGTAACGTTTTTGCGACACTTGTTACGTTTTCGCGTCACGTTTGACTATTTTTTGAAAATAAATTCAAACAGATTGGAATTGACTTGAGAAAAAAACAATAGAAAATAATTTCGAACTAATTGGAATTAAATTCAAACAGATTTTCGTTTATTGTTGGAATTTTCTATTTTTTTTAAAATCAGTTGTCTCACGATACTTAAAAAAAATGTTCTAAATTCGTTGAATGACCGCTTAAAAATTGTTTCGATGTTCCTTTGAGCAAGTTCGAAGCTGAAAACGATAGTAAAAATCGTTGTTTTGATTTGTAGAATAATTTTTCCAAATTTCGAATTTTTTCTAAAATTTCCCTAAAAGTGAATTTTCCGACGGTTTCTTCAGTTCATTCTTCCAATAACATTTTATCAACTTTCAAGATACCTACCACGATTGATTAACGAAGCAATATAATTCAATTAAACAAGATAATATAAAACCATAAATGATATACAACAGAAGAAAATTATGTGCAAAAGCCCATTCTCACTCGTTTTCTCTAGAAAATTTTGAGTATTAATTTTCATGTTGGGAACTTCGGTTTCTAGAATTTAGAAAAAATCGTTGCGGAATCAAGAAATTTTTTTCCTCCGTATCCCCATAATTCACAGTGTGTGAATTTATTGGAGGTGCTGAACTAATGAAATCCATTTCTATAACATGGAATTGGTCAGAGACTATTCTCTCATTCTAGCTGACTACCTAATACAGAATAACTCGGCTTTTGGTCGTTTAACTAGCATGGGACGAAGTGGTGGGAGACCTGGCATGAAGACGGGATACTTAGGACATAGCTGTAAATAGATTGCACGAAATCATGCACAAATGGAGATTGCACTTATGTGTATGTTCAGTGGGGCTGAATGGAGTTATGAAGTTTGGGAGGTTTTGGGCTAATTTTATTTCAATTTACGATTTCTTCATCTAAATTCGAGATGTCTCGGTTCAGAAATAAATTATTTAGCTGTACTTATCGGGATTTCCGCCTATATTCGAGACATTTTGGCCTTAATTTCGGCTAATTTGGGTTAAATGTCAAATTTTGTGGGCAAATTTCAAGATAATTTGGCGTAAATATGAAGCATTCAGCGTTATATTTAAGGATTTCGGCCTGAATTGGAAACATTTTAGCCTAAATTTGGGCTAATTTGGCCCAAATGACGAATGTTGAGGTCTAATTTGATTTAAAATTACGAGGTCTTGGTCTAAATTTAAGATGTTTTAGTTCAAACATAATTGATGTAGCTATGCTTTTCGGGATTTCGGCTTGTATTCGCGACATTTTAGCCTTAATTTGGGCTAAATTTAAATGGAGAAAATTTAGGCTAAATTTTGGGGTTAATTTTGCTTAAATTTCAAATATTAAGGTCGGAATTCAAAATATTTTGGTTCAAATATGAATGATTCAGCGTTGAATTTGAAAAATTCGCTCCAAATTCAACATCGTTTAGCTTAAATTTGAGCTAAATTGGCCTAAAGGTCAGATGTTGTTAGAATTCAAGATATTTTGATTCAAATATTAATGATTCAGCGTTAAATTTGGGGATACCGGCATAAATTAGAGACATTTAGCCAAAATTTCGGGGATTAAAGAAGTTGAAGACATTGCCACCTACATTTCGGAAAATTTAGTCGGCATTAATGATATTTTGATTTGAATTTCAACAATTTGAATTAAATTTTAGCATTTGAGCCCAATCTGAGCCATTTTTCCGAAATTTCACGAAATTCCTTCCTGATTTTGGATAATTCTGGCCCAAAATTGAGGGTTTTCGTCTAATTTCCACTGATTGAAGCCAAAATTTATAATTGAAATTGATATTTTTATTTATATAATTAATCAGCCTACTAATATAGATTAAAATTGAAGCCAAAGCCAACAAAATAAATAAATTCAAAACTTTGCTAGAATTTTTACGTGAATTTAAACAGTTTTGAGCAAAAATTTGAGACCCTCAAAATCAGCGCAAGACTGTCCCACTTCAACAATTCTTCCAAGAAATATTACACATCTTGAAAGTCCATTCTGCCCCACCTCACCAGCCCTGCTACAATTTCGTTATTTTTATTCCGAAAAAAGCGGAAAAAAATTCATTATTTTTTTTCTCAGTTTCGGAGGAATGATTTTTTTAAGTGTAAATATAACACAACGTCTTGGGTGGAATATCGCGTGATTACCCGCCACGTGTGTGTACAAGGTTGGAGATGGGAAAGCGATAGGGTGGATTCACGGAGAGCGTGGAGGAAATTACAAAGTAAGAATACGAGGCAGTGGGCAAATGTATTTGGCGGGAGGTGAGGAGGAATGAGGGAGAGGGCAGGAGGGGAGCTATGAAAAATTTTGTTCGATCGATCAAAGCACCATTGTACTGTTATATGGAGAATCAGATTTAAGCACAGCGCACGAATGTTGCCCGTGACGTAACGGCATGTGTTGTTTGTGATGTACAATCGTCGTGAATTTTTCACAATCAGAAACACGGGGAGAGAAGAACAGTATTTTTATTCAGCGCGGGGTTATCGTATCGTTGATGCGAGAGTCAAGGTCATGGGGAAGAAAGTTATTTTTGGAGGGAGATTGTTTTAATCGAACAAAAATAAATTGGTCGAATTGAAAATGATGAGAAAATTTAATGGAAAAGGCGAATATTTGGTGGGAAACAGTTGATCGACTTTGAATTTTTTTATGGATTATTCGAAAATATCGAAATTTATGGACTTTCTTCAGTAGTTTTCTAATTTTCAATAGAATTCTCGTTGATTTCTAGGGGAATTTTTGTCATAAAAATTATGAAAGAATCTAATTGAAAATTTGAGACGTTCGTTCCGAAATTCTTTTTGTTTTTTATTAGATATTTATTGAAAAAATAATGGAAATTGGATTTCTGATCCAAGTTCCATGATTTATTTTGAAATTTATGTATCAATACTCTTTAATTGCGCAAGAATTATTCGATTTAATTGAGAATGATGGGAAAATTTAATAGAAAAACGAAAAATGAAATTTCAATTATTAGAAATTTTCTTAATTTGAAAGACTCTATTTCTTATTTCTGCTGATTTCTAGTGAAAAATTATGACACCTTGCTATGCAATTTTTTAATGAATATTTGAATAAACAATGTCCATAGATTTTGATTTTTTTATGTAAATTATTCTCTTGTAATTTTTTCTGTGAAAATTCTTGGACATGAGTATTTTTTGCTGTTTTTCATTGAAAAAATAACAATTCAAGTCCAAAAATTGTAATAAAAAAAATCCTCGCCGAATAAATTAATTTTTTTACATAAAATATTTATTGAAATTGGATTTTTAATACAATTCTAATAAAACTGCAATAGAATTTCAAAAGTACAATATTGAATGTCTCAAGTCAACAATTCATAATTATTCTTAAAATCACGAACGTCGTGAAATAAAAAATAGAATATTTAAATTCTCAAATAAAAAAACTGATAATTTCGAATGAAGTAAAAAAATAAAATAAATTACTATAGAAAAATATTATTAAATTGAAAATAACTTTACTCTTAAATCTTGAATGTAAAAATTATGGGATTTATAATTTTCAATTTTTTTTAATGAATAAAAATACATGAACCAGGCAAAATTAAGAACGAAAAAAATGATTTTAAGAAAAACTTCAAATAGTTAAAAAAAAACTCCGAATAATTCAAAATTAAATGAAAACAAAATGAAAATCGCATTCTCAACTGGAGAATTATTTACTCTCAATGTACATGCCGTTGCTTCTACTCTGAGAATAATGAAAAATCATTTGCTATTGGCATGAATTACAACTGAACCATTACGAGCGAAAATAGCACATTGGAACGAGCCTAATGCCTGAATCGATCCCGACCGAATGGTACACAGAGATAAAATGAAAGGGCATGATTTCAAATTACAGTTGGAGTGGCTAAATCCTGCAAGATTGAGTCAGATTGTAGTGGGATCGGGAATACGAGTTGTGTATCCGATCCGAAGGATGGAAAGACCAAGTGCCTCTGCAGTGATCTCACAGCGCCTTACAATGGCGCATGTCTCCACAAGCGTAAGTCCTTATTCCGTGGAATCTAACGAATTGTTCAGTTGAAATCGACAGTTAATACATTTTTACATAAAAATAAATTAATAGAAAAACCTAACGGTTTTAAAAATATTTTTCATTGAATCTGTACAAGAATTCTATTAAAATTTAATTGAAATATTTTTTGCCTCGATTTTCAAATAGATTTTTTATAGTAAGAGTCAATAGATTTTTATTTATATTTCAAAATCTAAGGGAGATAGCCAAATTTTTCTCATAACCTTTTTAGTAGTACTCAATTCGCTCTACAAAAAAGGTTATTATAAAAATTTCGCTATCTCCCTTAAATTCGGAAATATTCCTTGAAAACTCAACTGAAGACTAAATTGACTTAGACCGTTTGACCACTTCGTTACTGAATTATAGCAATTAATTAAACTTGTGGAAATATTGGGGTTCACAACGATATCTACGATGAAATACGGTGGAATTTTGCTGAGAAATAATCGAAAATAATAGCCCAGCAAAATTAATTAGATTTTGTTTTTGGTTCATAATCTCTTCGAGTCGAAGTTGCATACCTGGGCTTCAACTGGGTCATCAACAACTTGATCGCATCCTCAGGTCGCGGGGAATAATTAATCAACAATGTTGATACGACCCTGAAGAACACTATTTCTAAAATAGCTTCGGAAGATCGTGGGGGACTGTAAATTATTGGATTTGGGGTGAATCGCGCCCCCTTCGACAGTTAAAAATACGAAAATCAAGATAACATTCCAGAGGCCATTACCATCTACTATGAGCTGAGTTAATATAACGCCCTCATCGTAAACAAAATCTTGAATTATTTCCAGGAACTAAATATTAAATTAACTTCGTAATGAACAGAATTTATGAATAGAATATCATAACACGCATGATTAGACGTAATAAAATATTTGGGGCATTCCTTACGAAATTTTATTCGTTTTTTGTTGAATGTTTACTGAACATTTATCGGAAATTTGATTTGTCGTTCCCTGATTCCTGGTGTCATTTATCATTTATAATTTTGTTCTTCGCTTTTTCGTTGTAATTGTTATATTTTATAAGGGTAATGCAGCAGATGTTTATAATATTTTCCAATGGAACTTATTCTGTTGCGTTTTTTAAATTTAATTTTCAAGTTTGTCATGAGAAACTAGTAAATACGGGAAAAACTTCGAAAATTCATGTCTAAAAATTTCTATAAATTTTTTAAGAGAATAATTCATATAAAAAAATAAAAACCTATTGAATTTTTTCGCAAATTTCTAATTTTCAATAAATTATGATAGAATTTCTCATGAGAAACGAGAAAATACCGCGGAAAACAGTAAAATACTCATGTTTACAAATTTCTATAGAATAAAGTTAAAGAGAATAATTTATATTAAAAAATTAGAACCGATGGATTTTTTTCAGTGGTTTTCCAATTTTTCAATAGAATTTTAATAGAATTCCGACGGAATTTTCATAGAATTTCCAACTAAATTCAATAGAATTTCTCATGAAAAGTGTTAGGTTTTTATAATTTTTTTATTTGAAACAAAATAAATTTGACATTTTTCTATAAAAAATGTTGGGCATGGATTTCTTGAGCTACCATTCTCAAATTTTGTCACGAGAAACAAGAAAATACAGCGGAAAAAACGTGGAAAATTCATGTCTAAAAATTTCTATAGAAAAAATTTTAAGAGAATAAATTTACATAGAAAATTCGTACCTGTTGGCTTCATTCAGTGATTCTCTAATTTTTCAATAGAATTATAATATTAGAATTATAATGAATTAAATAGAGTTGATCCATAACAATTAATTCAATAGAAATTCTTAAAATTACGTTTTGATTATTTTTTTTACCAATGCGTCTCATCGAAATAAAACATTTGACCCCACACCATCGATTTCATTTCCCCAAACCCCATGAAACACTCCAAGGTCATCCAGGTGATGAAAGGTCGAGGCCACAACCCAGGAAAATGGGGAAAATCCTAATTGTAGCTGATAGTACCTTTTTTTTTCTCCTGCGGGTATAATTAGCATAAAATTAACTCTGCGTAAGTGCAGTCCAATGGCTGTGGTTCATTTGGTTATAGTTACACGGTATATTTTTATCTATGTAAATGACCCGGAGGCTTTGAAAATATTCCTGACAAATGACCCAGTCGAGGTCAGATATGTTGAACTGGCGACGTACATGCTTATGTCGGTCTGCTGTACACATTCTCGGGGTACAATTTTGTTTTGTCGGTGCACAGAAGCAATTTTAGGGTTGCGTGATGAATTGTAATAATGGGGAACGAGGAATTGTGAGGAATTACTGGGACTATTCAATTCCAGTGTTATTGGCGGGTTGAATCAATTTTTAGGATTTGTTTTTTGTTGTGAGAAAGATTTTTAAATTTATCTTGGGAAAATGTTATTCTTGGGGATAGTGGAATAATATAAAAAAATTATTTCAATATGAAAAAATCGCCTTTCAATATAAAAAAACACAGAGAATAATTTTTTATTTACGCTGTAACGTCATATGAATTGATACTGATGGACCCTGACTATCCCTTGGGTCAATGATTAATTTTTTTTAATGGACTTTCGAAAAAATTATTTATTGACAGAAGAGAATTTTTTTCTCACTCGATATTCTTCTCCCTTTCAGCTGTCCACTCTCCGTGCAAGAACGATCAAGAATGCGGTCCGGGTGCCCACTGCGCGCAAGGGAATAGCACGACGCATGGGAAGACGTGTCAATGCCAATATGGGTACTACGAGGAGAACATGAGATGCAACGGTAATATCCCCTGACCCTTTCACGATATCAAACATTCACATGTGAAATATTGAATATAAAAACGTTTTCTCTGGAATATTCTACTGAAACTATAAGAATTCCATCGAAATGTGATTAGAATTCTGTGGAAAATATTATAGAAATTTTTTTGAAAAAATTCTATCAGTTTTTCGCGCTCATTTCAGTTGAAAATTATGCAATTTTGCCGAAAAATTTTGCAATAGATATTTCATAGAAAAAATTAACTTCATTATTATTTCTCTATTTAATTATTCTCTGCAGATTTTTTTTGTAGAAATGCGAATTAGTTTTTTATAGAAAATAAATAAATTGTTTATGATTTCTCTAGTTAATTATTCTATTTAGATTTTTTTATCGAAATGTCTTCAATAGCAATTTTTTTGGCAATTTAGTTCAATAAGTTAATAAAAATGGGGAAAATTCAGGTGAATATTCTCTTAAAATGCAAATTATTTAAAAATTCAACTCTATTTCATTCAAAATATTTACGTTGCATAAAAAATTCAAGTCAATTGAGGAAATTCTATTTAATTTTCAATTAAAGCCCTTTGAATTCACATGAATTTCCATCGAAAAACTGGTTTTTTCAATCTTGCGATCCATTAATACTTCAACAATCCTCCAATTTCCATTTGTTTATGTTTATATTTCAGGAACCCTGTCATCGCTGCAAAGTTCCTCAGTCCTAGTCCTCCTATTCAGCCTCATACTCCTAAGGAACCTTAGTTCTTCATAATTCTACGAAAATTAGTAATGAATAAGAACCATCATCAGTAGCGAACTGACGAAACGAGATGAGTCAGCCCAAAAAATCGTGAGATCCAAAGAAAATACCGAATTTCAACGGGAAAATTCTGCTGTTTTCCTTGGATCCGGGCACATTAATCGAAAACAGAACAGTTGAGTCGACTCATCCCGTTTCCCCTCTTCGCAACTGATTCTTAACGCTCTGAGAATCAACCGCTGCGCAGAAGACTGCGGCATGATGCAAAGAGAACCGAGAGTACAATTGAATCTACATTTGAAATTCTATGGATTATCAATCAATAATTTCATCGATCTACTCATGCGGAGCTCCTTTATTTCCAATGCTTGAGCTTAGCATAAATTATTCAACTTCATTTGGAAGATCTGGAGAGTTTGTGTGACATTTAAGTCGTATTGCTTTCTTTCCTTGAATTATCGATATCAATTTTGCATCTACATTCATTCATAAAAGATGTTTCATATTTTACGTATCGAAGTTCTTAGAGCTGTGGAATTTTGTAATATTTGTATATTATTATACATATAGCTTAAGTCACATTTTCAGCGTTTTCGAGTAAGAAGGATATTCTGTGCACCAATAAAACTCAATAAAACTCATTAAATAGCTTTATTTCTTTTTGAATACTACATTTGTCACTGATTGGCCGACTCTACCACCGAACTTCATGGCGGGGGCTTCGATCGTAAGTACGACATCAAAATCTGAAATGAGAAAAGATATACAGAACTCGAAACGATAGCAAAAATTGAATTTTTGCGTCCAAATGGTTTTTAATTGTTAATGTTTACTTTTCTTCTAATCTTCTAATTTTTCCTGGAAATTATGTAGAATATTATGAAATGTGAACATGTGATACACATTTATAATTTCAAATTATTTTATAAATTTCAACAGAAAAAAGACTAAAATTGAAGTTAAAACTCGAAATATTTTTACATCACTAGATTTTTTTTGTAATTCATTAAATACCTCAACTTATTAAAACATTTTGTTTTTCTCAGTCCAAATGCTAGATTTTGAATTATTAATCTTTACTTTTCTTCTAATTTTCAAATCTTTCCTGAAAAATATGTAGAATATTATAAAATGTGAACATATGTTGCAAATTATTTTATAAATTTCAACAGAAAAAGGAGTAAAATTGAGGTTAAAACTCGAAATATTTTTACATCACTAGATTTTTTTTGTAATTTATTAAATACCTCAACTTATTAAAATATTTTGTTTCTCTCAGTATACAGTATCGATAAAATAGTTTACCGAAGTCACTAGAAAATTGGATAAAGCCTGGAGATACACCTCGAAATAGAATTTCATGTGAGATCCCAATTTATATTCCGGTTGCTTCAAAAACGCTGAATAGACTTGGGACATGAAATTCTGGCGTCTTATAACGAATGCAACCTGACATTACAATATGACGAGCGCAAAAGTCGGTCCTATTCACCGGTATTCTGCAGCCATCGAGCGGGGAATTTCGGTTCTAGAAGATTCGTGCCATTTTATGACGAAAATGAGAAAAATTCGCGTGCATGTATATTCCATTCTCATGCAGAGTTATATCACAAATTATCAATGGAAGAGGATTGACAATTATAGAAAAAATGTATTATATTTGATATCCGTCAGTTACAATAATTTAATAATTTAATAAGCTCTATTCGTTGATGCCAATTAGAATTCAATTGTTCATACAGATTCGAAAAAACTGATATTTTTCCAAAAATCGATTTTTCAACGATCACTCAAAAAATTGTCATCAAAATGGAATTAGTCGTGGCTCAAAAAATTGATAACAATACCCTCTTGATTCTATCAGAATACGATGGGGGTCGCACAATTCGTTGTTGAGTTACAGCCATTCTTTATGCGATTTGAAAGAGAAAATCGGTTTTTTCATGATTACTGAAAGAATCATCGGTAATATCAATTAAATCAGGGCTTAAAAAGTATATTTCAATGCCTTCTTAATCAAGTTGAAAAATTGTGAGAACAGCATCATTGCTTATCAAGTTACACAATAACTAACTTCCCGACTAACTTCCGACAGAACCTGGGTTAAACTCTGGCTAAATCCTGACTAAACCCTGACTAAATCCCGGCTCTACACTGATTAAACCTTGATTGAGCCTTGATTAAACCCGGACTGAAAACGAATTCGAGTCTTGAGAGGGTCTGAATGTAGAATTATTTGACAGAACGAAATAATACGCAAAATTTTGATGACATTTCAATCGATGATAGTACTATGACATGAAAAAATAGAAGAAGAGAATAGTGAAATAAGAATTTCAAAAAAGAGAACCCATTCGGAGGCAAATTGCTAATTTATTAGCCACAATAACTATACTCATTTATAAACATGTAGCATTTTCCACTTGTTTTCATTTCATAACTTGCATTAATATTTGAGTGAATAAATCATCTGCACAACGAAACTCACAGTTAATGAAATGATTCATCAACTCGGCCTCCGTCCAGTTGCAAGAGGACAGCACCAGATACCCATCAGCCCCAAGAATCCTGTGTACATTCTCCACATACTTCTTCCTCTTCTCCAAGGAGTCATCGGGATTCAGACTAATTGCATCATAAGTCCCTTTATCATGAATGAGTCTGAACTCATACAGAAATAAATCGTCATCAGGATTCAGCACATCGCAGACCATCAACTGGACCTTGCAGGGATCGACCTGATTGTCCGCCAGGACCGACCTCGCCAGGTTAATCGAACTGGGGGCATAATCGACCCCCACCAGGTCCGTAAAACCTTCCCTAGCTAATTGAACTAGTGTCCAACCATTGCCACACCCAATGTCCACTATCTTGTCTGTTCTCGAGAGACCCAAATCCCCACTTATGCACCTGTTAAACCCAGAATTTTCGATAATGTGGAGAATAGAACAAAAAATTCGTTTGTAATTTCCAGAATAAAATGTCTGGGATAATGAAATTAAATTAACCGACGGATATTGGTGAAAATAAATTGGTGTAATTACTTGACCACTTTCAGGGCATTATTTTTACCGAACCAGACCTCTCCGACGTCCCCGTGATCCTCGAAATTATCGATTTCCTCGGAATATATTCTTTCCCAGCTAGAAAATTAAGGGAAAACCCATTTTCATTTAAAATGAATTCCAAAATAGCTAGATATTTTTTTCGGGGGACAAAAAAATATTCCTGATTCTAGCTGTAATTATTATTACAAGTTCATTATTTTGGGCGAGTGAATACTATCGATTTGTTTTTGCTGTTAAAAGTGAAAGGAAGTAGTATTGACTATTTTATTTTACTTCATGAAGTTATTGATAATTATTGAAATTGTTTAATAATTTCAATAATCATAAAAAACTTCATGATAAGATGAATTTGATAAATTTTATCAAATATTGTTGTGAATGGAAGAGGAAACTATTTCAATATATTTCAGAAGATTTTCGTCAATTATTTATTCGAAATAGAATTTTTGGGAATCAAAGTGTTTTAATACTATTTTACTAATTATATGCAGAGACTTTAAAATAACGAATTTTCATGTTTGGGTTGAAGAATCACTCGATATTTTTGTTGAGAAACAAAAAAATACTTTTGATATTTCATGTGATTTCGCAGGATATGATATTAATTGGAATTATTATTCCAAGTTTATTATTTTGTTTATATTATTATAATTCTTCCCCCATTTTAATTCCAGTCAACAATAACCGATGATTAATATTTATTGTTGTCCATTAATAAATAAAATAAAACCCTTTAATATGGTTGTTTCTCAAAAAACATTTGATGTTTGAATATTCATATTTTATCGAATGGAAAAATACCAATTTCCAATAAAAAAAATATTATTGTATTTCCAATAAACATATTGCACAAAATTCCCCTCAACAATTCAATTATCAATTCCTTTTATTCATTTCCTAAACAAAATCCTCTCATTATTTCGTTCGCGACTCAGTTCTATCAAAATAATTTCAACAAAATATCGAAAATCAACTCGTTTTCCTCAATTATTCATCAACAATAAAAAATAAACAAGTGTCACTCACTAATCCTTAGTCCCCAGCTCCGAAGGATTCAACTCTTGCTCCAATTCTTCCCCATTTTAATTCAAGACAACAATAACTGATTATTAATATCTATTGTTGCCCATTAATAATTAAAATAAAACCCTTCAATATGGTTTATTGTTTCTCAATGATTCCTCAAAAATCTCTTGTTGTTTGAATATTCTATCGAATGGAAAAATGCCAATTTCCAATAAAAAAAACATTATTGTATTTCCAATAAACATATTACACAAAATTCCCCTCAACAATTCAATTATCAATTCCTTTTATTCATTTCCTAAACAAAATCCTCTCATTATTTCGTTCTCGACTCAGTTCTATCAAAATAATTTCAACAAAATATCGAAAATCAACTCGTTTTCCTCAATTATTCATCAACAATAAAAAATAAACAAGTGTCACTCACTAATCCTTAGTCCCCAGCTCCAAAGGATTCAACTCTTGCTCCAATTCTTCCCCATTTTAATTCAAGACAACAATAACTGATTATTAATATCTATTGTTGCCCATTAATAATTAAAATAAAACCCTTCAATATGGTTTATTGTTTCTCAATGATTCCTCAAAAATCTCTTGTTGTTTGAATATTCTATCGAATGGAAAAATGCCAATTTCCAATAAAAAAAACATTATTGTATTTCCAATAAACATATTACACAAAATTCCCCTCAACAATTCAATTATCAATTCCTTTTATTCATTTCCTAAACAAAATCCTCTCATTATTTCGTTCTCGACTCAGTTCTATCAAAATAATTTCAACAAAATATCGAAAATCAACTCGTTCTCCTCAATTATTCATCAACAATAAAAAATAAACAAATGTCACTCACTAATCCTTAGTCCCCAGCTCCGAAGGATTCAACTCTTGCTCCAATTCTTCCCCCATCTCAATTCCAGACAACAACAACTGCTGATTAATTCTTATTTTTAAACATTAACGAACAAAACCGGACACTTGTAAATAATGAAATCAAACCACGTGCTTCATTATCTCTCGTGCGACTTTTGGAGCAAAAACACCTCGCTTTCCACGACTCCAACACCCAAACATAACCTTCACGACACCGACAGCCAGTCGATCAGCTGTTCCACTCCCCAAACAGTGGACTGTTGTAAACTACTCCACTTCCTCATTATCACTGCTCCGGTTTTCGAATAAAAAAGAGAGTGAGATGGTGATCACAATCCGCTGCACCACAGGTGCATCAACGCTCTCAAAAATGGGGGTTTCACCCATAACTAGTGTGTTTTCTCCACGTAAGTAACTCCATTTACTCCGGATGCGCTGAGACACTTTGGGTTTTGACTGGTGCATTATCGAAAACATGATATTGCAATTATTGATGGTTCGTGTGACATGCAGGCTCTGCGAACCCACTGAGTCTGAATATTCGATCGCTGTCTGCTGTCGCTCAGCAGAAACTGCAGAATGAAGCCAGACCCAGGACTGGTATTTTGATGCTGAACATGGGGGGTCCTAAAACAACCGACAAAGTTGGGGAATATTTACACAGGATTATGACGGATCGAGACATGATGCAGTTGCCAATGCAGAGGTATGGCATATTTATTACTGCGAGGGGAAGGAAATTGAAAAGGGGGGCAAAAGAGACTTTTTAAATTTTTTATGGCTTTTGATTTTGGAGCGGTTGGGGTACAATGGACACTTGACTTTTTTTAAAATGCTAATGACGGGTTGAAATGGTGATAAAATTTGAGGTTTTTTTTTCATTGCAAAGGACAATTCTTTCCCTTTGTGATGAGCCTAAACTGAGCGATATTGATGAATTTGTTTCTCGGTTATGAGTAATTCACACAAAAGTCTAAAGTGTCCATTTTACCCCACTCTCCCCTAAGTATACGATTGGGATGGCGCAGGCCTCATTTTAAGATTATCAAAGTATTTTTTTAATTAACATAAAAATATTGAAGTTGACTCTGAAAAATCCTGAAGTACGTCATATTTATTAACGCAGAGAATAATTAAAAAGCATAAAATAATTAAAATGCAGAGAATAATTAAATTTAAAAAAATGAAATTTTTGAAAATTATTCTGTAAATCATGACAACATTATTGCAGTCACCTCCATCGTTCGACAAATTCAGGACATTTTTTTAATTGAAATTAAATTAATTAAATTTAATTGATAAATTAATTAATTAAATTTTTTTTTCAATACAAAGGACTATTTTTCCCCTTTGTGATGAGCCTAAACTGAGTTTTATTGATACATTTGTTTCTGAGTTATGAATAATTTTAAAAAAGTCTAAAGTGTCCATTTTACCCTACCCTCCCCTATGAATTAAATTTTAATCAAAGTCAGTGCCCCATCATTTCCATTAATGAAATAAAAATACTTCACGATATTCCAACCAGTAACAAATATTCCAATCAACAACGTAAACTACGATTTCCCTCGAATCAAGTTTAATTACTTCCTTTTATCATCCTACTAACAAAAAAAATAAAATGCATTTCATGGATGTTGATCCCTTCCCTTTTATGTTCAGTCGCCTGGGCCCTTGGATCGCCAGGAGAAGAACACCTGAGGTCCAGAAGAAGTACGCAGAGATTGGCGGAGGCTCGCCAATTTTAAAGTGGACTAATCTGCAGGGAGAACTCCTCTGCAAACAATTAGACAGAGTGTCCCCCGAGACCGCTCCGCACAAGCACTACGTTGCTTTTCGTTATGTTGATCCTCTCACCGAGGAAGCTCTCCAACAAATAGAAGAGTAAATTGTTTTATTCGCCCATTGTTTTCCTCCGGCCATTTTTGTTTGTCGCAATTACAATTATTATTCCGTTGTTTTTTAGGGATGGAGTTGAGCATACTGTGATTTTCTCGCAATATCCTCAGTACAGCTGTGCCACCACTGGGTCCAGCTTCAACGCTATTTATAATTATTACAAAACTAGGTGAATATTAATATCAAGTTTCGTTAAACCTCAATTCGTCAATTTTTTTTTTATTAAAAAATTTATTTTTTTAGGAAATCAAATAATTATGTTCTTGAAGTAAAGAAAAATGTCATTATTATTTCAATTTTGAGTCAGGTATTGCGACAAAAATACGTGATTGCTCATTTTTTTAATTATGAAAAATATTCCTGTTTATATTGAATAATCTTCGGGAAATTAATTTTTTTTTCCACTGAATTCAGTTTGAATGTTATTTATAATTGTTATTAAACGAGGTGAAAATCCCACGTGGGGATGCAACTTCAAACTACGGTTGCCATGATATTCTTTTGAAAAATAACTGCAATATTATTGAAGAAATACGGAATTTATTATGAATAATTCCCTGCTCCTAATGCAAATAAATCCACCTCATCTGGAAGTATAATTTCTGGTCTTTTTGTTGGCATTTTTTTCAGCTCAATCGAGACAAACATTGTTTTCTAATTAAATTTTGAAAAAGACGATTTTGGGGAATTTTCAGGATTTTAACATTTTTTTCTCAGAAACTAGGGCATTTCGAGAGATTTGGCCAACGGATTTGAAATCTGCGTGAAAAAATCTTTCAAATGGTGGCAGTCTCATCCCTGTGCCAGAACAAGTTCAAATTTTTGCGAACTGTGTAATTGTTATGGGAGGAGGTCAATATTAAGTGATGAATATCAATTCAGCTTAAACGCCATTAATAATTAATAATTTAAAAATAATGAAAAATTAGGAAATTATAAAAATGACATTTCTTTCAAAAATTGAATAATAATGTTTTTGAAATAAAGAAAAATGCCATTATTTGCTGAATCTTGAATCGAATATCGTGACAAAAATATGAAATGAAGTAATTATTAAGAAGCGATGAACATCAAGTTGAATGATAACTCAATTAATTGACAAATTTTCAAAAAACTGAAAGTTTAAAAAAATTCAAAAACAATTTTTTTCCAAAAATAAATGATATGTTTTTCAAATTCAAATAGCTCCTTCCTTTTTACAAACAATAAAATTTCTGAATTCCCTAATAATTTGAGATTGGCAGGAACAGCTCTTTATTATTTAAATCACTGAAAAAAGACTAATTAAAAAGCAAGCGCACTCGCACTAAAAATATGGAATTGCCCACATGTCCTTCTATTTTCACCAGAGAAATTCCGAAAAACATGAAGCTGAGTGTTATTGATCGTTGGCCAACACATCCACTGCTGGCTAAAACATTTGCAGAGAAAATTAAGGCCGAATTGAAGGAATTCCCAGCGGATGTTAGAGATAATGTTCACATACTGTTTTCGGCGCATTCGCTTCCTCTGAAGGTAATTGCATTAACAGGGAGGATATTCAATAGAAGAGAGCGGATTTATAAATGTAACGCCGTAGAATCGACTACAGACTCAGAGGCTCTGCATCAATTTCACTGGGATGAATAATTAATTATTTTCGTGTTTCAAAAATGGATTGCATAATTGCACTTTCGGTTCGTGGGGAGTTGCCGCTCCCAGTGGAGGGCAATTTCTTTTCTTTTATTTTTACTTCGAGATAATTCGGCAGAATTCTTCCATTACTGTGACATTAATTAGTCATTTTAATGCATTTAGTGTTATGAATTTTTATTTTTTGATCAAATAAAGTCATTTCACCTTTTAGTCATCAATTATTCTTCCTTAATAAAAAAATTTCTCGAAAAAGTTGAAATATTATTTCTGAATTTAATTCACAGAGAGAAGAAGAGAAACATTCATGTAAAAATTAACAAAATTCTTGACTTTTTCATTTAAATCTCTAATTGAACGCTTCATTAACTCAATCTCACCTTTACTTAAATTCTCACTTGATCATAAATTTTTCATGCAATAAATTCAAGTCATCTTTCGCAAATGACTCGTCTTCAAGTAAAAAAATCTCTTGAGAAAATAAAAACCAAAATTCTAAATTGAATTCATAGACAAAAAAATTAACACTTGTTTTTATTTCAACATCTAAAATTCTCATTGAATGCGTCAATTAATTTATGGGCATTCACTCAACCTGAGAATGCCCGAGCCCCATCTCTCGCAATATTTAATCACATCATTCTATTGAAACATCCCCAACAATGGACGATTCTACTCATCCTCATAATTTCGCAAACTGAGGATTTTAATCTCTAATTTTCATGACAGGCTGTGAATAGAGGTGATCCCTACCCCAGCGAAGTGGCGGCAACGGTGCACATGGTAATGCAAGAGCTGAATTACTGCAATCCGTATCACCTGGTGTGGCAATCCAAGGTGAGATACTCATCAAAACACGCAATATATTTTTTCAGCCTATTTATCATAAACAGAATAAAACAAGCATCTGCGAAACGACAATTCCGTTGTTGTGGGTTAATTAACAACCGTGAACTCAGTTTGCTTCAATTGAAGAGCCACTCATTTGCTATTTCGATGATTGACCGTGGACTTGTGATTTTTTTTTTAAACTTTGATTAATGCAGTTGCAGAGTTTAAAACAGAACAAGTTTATTTCACTTGAGAGTTTTTTCAAGGAGAAAAGGCTTGAAGAAACTTATAATGAGATTGAATGGTGGAATTTTATTTAAATCAATGGAAAATGTGATCATTAAGAGGCCTCGGCAGTAAAAAAACTGCGGAAATGTGGGAATAACTTTGCGTCATGAATTCGCAGTCAAAAGGGGATGGAAAAATCTGAAAGATGGCTTAAAAAATTTGTTCATTTTATTGAAATTGGATGAAGTGAGTTGAGGGTGATCTGAAGAGGATAAATAATTTAAAGAAATGTTTGAAAGTACGAGGTGGAGGCATCGCCATCGCTGAAATTCCTGCCGGCAGAGGGAGGGGGCATCTAAGCAAGATGGCGCCGCCCACACTTGTTAACCACTTCGTGTTTTAGAATGATGATTAAAATTATTTGTCGTCTTTAGATCATATTCAATTTTTTTGATCCAGTTAGAAGAAAAAGAATAAATTCTTCACACTAATCTCCAGATTTTTTTATCCCCTTTCAGCTCAGAATTCATTCCGCAATTTTTTGTCTCGAAATTTTTATAGAAATGAAGAAAAACAAGAGAAGAATAATATAAAGTAAATAAAAAAATGGATAAAAAATAAGTTAATAAATTTTTTTTTCTAGGTCGGTCCCCTAGAATGGTTGGGGCCATTCACAGATGCAGCGCTGAAAGGCTACGTGAAACAAGGAAAAAAACATTTTATTCTAGTTCCAATAGCATTCGTTAATGAACACATCGAGACACTCCATGAAATGGACATCGAGTACTGCGATGAATTAGCAAAAGAGGTACATTTTTGCTCAATTCTTGAGTATCATTCACACCACTCTGTTTTCCATAAACATTTAAAACTCGTATTTATAGCTGGGAATTGACAAAATCAGACGAGCAGCTGCGCCAAACGACCATCCTTTATTCATCGATGCTCTGACTGATATTGTTACCACTCACTTGCGATCCAAACAAGCTTATAATCCTAAATTTCTTACGAGGTGCCCTCATTGTGTCAATGATAACTGCGGGCTCAGTAAGACTTGGTTTCAAAGAGTTTGTAGGATTTAAAGGAGAGAGTCTGAGACATTAATGTCGTCAATCATTGTTAACTTTGATGATTATTTTCTGATGTCAGTGGATGAGGAATATCTATTATTGGTAATGGGGTTTTATAGACTGCTAATTTTTTTGTTAATAAAGGTCTTCAAAAAATAAATGCTTAAATTCCACACCATTTCGAAACATTCTACTGAAAAAAAAATCCCCAAAGTCCTTGAACATCCTCAAATAATTTCCCACTCACCAAAATCCTTCTCTCCATTCCCCAAACCTCCCTCAAAACCCGCTAATCAAATCAATTTTCAAATCAACTTTCAAAAATTGAAAAATCCGTCGAGTGTCGCCCCCTCTCGTGTCCCTCCGCAATCGCAATTTTTTTCAGATTTTTTAAATGTTTTCCAACGGTTCAGTTCCAAAATTCAAATTCAAATTCACACCATTTCGAAACATTCTACTGGAAAAAAAATCCCCAAAGTCCTTGAACATCCTCAAATACTTTTCCACTCACCAAAATCCTTCTCTCCATCCCCCAAACCTCCCTCAAAACCCGCTAATCAAATCAATTTTCAAATCAACTTTCAAAAATTGAAAAACCCGTCGAGTGTCGCCCCCTCTCGCGTCCCTCCGCAATCGCAATTTTTTTCAGATTTTTTAAATGTTTTCCAACGGTTCAGTTCCAAAATTCAAATTCAAATTCACACCATTTCGAAACATTCCACTGAAGAAAAAATCCCCAAAGTCCTTTTTCAAAACATTCCACTGAAGAAAAAATCCCCAAAGTCCTTGAACATCCTCAAATAATTTCCCACTCACCAAAATCCTTCTCTCCATCCCCCAAACCTCCCTCAAAACCCGCTAATCAAATCAATTTTCAAATCAACTTTCAAAAATTGAAAAACCCCTCGAGTGTCGCCCCCTCTCGCGTCCCTCCGCAATCGCAATTTTTTTCAGATTTTTTAAATGTTTTCCAACGGTTCAGTTCCAAAATTCAAATTCAAATTCACACCATTTCAAAACATTCCACTGAAGAAAAAATCCCCAAAGTCCTTTTTCAAAACATTCCACTGAAGAAAAAATCCCCAAAGTCCTTGAACATCCTCAAATAATTTCCCACTCACCAAAATCCTTCTCTCCATCCCCCAAACCTCCCTCAAAACCCGCTAATCAAATCAATTTTCAAATCAACTTTCAAAAATTGAAAAACCCCTCGAGTGTCGCCCCCTCTCGCGTCCCTCCGCAATCGCAATTTTTTTCAGATTTTTTAAATGTTTTCCAACGGTTCAGTTCCAAAATTCAAATTCAAATTCACACCATTTCAAAACATTCCACTGAAGAAAAAATCCCCAAAGTCCTTTTTCAAAACATTCCACTGAAGAAAAAATCCCCAAAGTCCTTGAACATCCTCAAATAATTTCCCACTAACAAAAATCCTTCTCTCCATCCCCCGAACCTCCCTCAAAAACCGCTAATCAAATCAATTTTCAAATCAACTTTCAAAAATTGAAAAACCCGTCGAGTGTCGCCCCCTCTCG